TGATGTGTAAACACTAAAATGACAGTAACGACCACCTGCCTCTGCTGGAGAGAGAGGGTTGGGTCCTCTGTAGAATAAGGGGGAAAATGTTCTTTACAGTGAGGTATGTGCCCTAGGAAATGTATTGTCTCACCTTGCTACATGCTGCCTGGGACTGGGGTAATGGCCTGACTTCTCAACAGGCTCACACTCTAGGTCAGAGCTGTCACCCAGGTTTCCGCACTTTGGGCATACAAATATTTTAAAGTTTTAGTTCCCTGACTAAAACTCACAATGGAACGAGGCTACTCCACTTCTCCAGGAGTGTAAGGGGATGCTGTGTATACACATTTGTTCTTCAAAATCATTCTGCTGTGCCCATGTATACACACTGGGGCTTTAAGGAAAAGTATCACAGAGTGAGTGTTAGCAATACTGATTACCTGAAGGATGTCCCAGGGCAGCTAAAGTCCACTGAGAAATCCTGATAAGCTGCAAATGTGCTTAAAAGAGCAACACTTCTCTGTCTGTCTGTCTGTCACACACACACACCTCAACACATTCTTGCTTTATTTTTATTGTTACTTCAGATACTTCCTGCAATGCACATATTTTGCTGTAAGTTTATTCTTTTGAAGTGCTGTCATTTGAGTTATTGCATTCTATGCATTTCATACTTTTTATTTCTGTCTTATGCTTATATTTAATTCTTTGAGTAGTGAGTTCTAAAATGGCTAACCTGTCCCTGATGAAGCGATTATCCCTATGGTAACTTTTAATAAATACAAATTAAATCTAGGTTTTGTGTTTCTATTGGTAGTGCACATCTGCACATTACCTCATTAATTTGGTACACAACAAAATCCATTTTGCATATATACGTATGGAAAAAATTAAACTGAACATTGCTGGATAACAGTAAAGAGCAGTTCAACGACAGTCTGAGTCAATGCTGGATGACAGCTGACTATGCCTTTGACAGATTAAAGGCATGCTGGTGATGCCTCTATGGCAGGTTAGATCATAATGAAGATAATATTCCCATGGCCATTGCCATAGCCATGTGCTATATGTTGCATAATCTCTGTGAAGCTAAGGGTGAAAGGTTTGCTCAAGGGTGGAGTGCTATGGTAGACCACTTGGCTGTTGATTTTAAGCAACCACATACCAGCTCTATCAGAGGAGCTCAGAGGCGGACAATTTGAATCAGGGGGGCTTTGAGGCAGCACTTTGACAATGAGCACTAGTTATGTAACCCTCTGTCAGAGATGCTTCAATTTATATTACCTGTAGTTTTCCTAGGAGGCAAGGGTGACATTTGGGGTCTTATAGATCAGTAAAAAAAAAGATTAACGTGTCTGTGCATGTATTGATAGTGCCTAAAATCTCAATTTGTAGAAAACTAATAAAGACAATTTACCATTATACATGTTTTCTTTTATTGCACAAGAAATAGCACACACAGATGTTTGGCTGGAAAGGAGAAATGAAGGAAGAAGAGACTTTCACAATGGTGTGTAGGTCCACTTATCATAGTGAAAGTTGTCTGAGGAGGTGGAGTGAAGGGGAAACCAAGAAGTCCTGGAAAGTGGAAGGAATGTGCGGCCAGAGTTTGGGAGAACATGGAAAAAAAGAGTTCTGAATGTGTTGCAGGGGAGACCGAGGACAGATCTGCTCAATCTGCAGAATTAAGGATGTCAGCATCTGTGTTTGCTCCTCCATTACTTTAATTATCTGCTCAGTTGAATCCTTAAATGCATGATTCTCTTTTCTGCCCTGCTGTTCAGCTTCCCAGCACTCCTTGCGTTCCCTTTTTTCTGCACTGGCTCACTCCAGCACCTCCCAGAACGTGTCTTCTTTCCTGCTTCTTGGATTCTTCTTTATTTGCTGGAGACACTTGGTCGGGGTGTGTGGAATGTTCCTGAGGGCCACATCTGGTGAAGCACATGGGACAATTCATAGAAGTGGGACTGTTAAATTCACAAACAGCACTGAAACATTTCAGTTAGATACACCTTTTGCAACATTGCAAGCACTTTCTCTCTGATCCCAGCTAGGCACACATCTCTGAACACCCAAAGCACGGCGCGTGTTGGCCAGGTGGGAGGCAATGGAGAAGCGGGACACTCCACATTGAGAAAAGAGCACACACTCGTTCAAAGGGTTGTAGTGCAGCGTTCTAAGGAAAAATTGGGCTGGGGTCACTCTGGCAGATCTCTCACTGCTAAGGGTAAACAGGGAAACCAGAGTATATCAGCTTCAAGCATTTGGTTTCTGTCCTACTCCTTACGCAGCTTGCCTATATGCCGCTTTGATCCCTGTCCAAGTGATTGCCAAATGGCACAGGAAAGTTTCCTAGAATAGGAGAAGGACCGAAGCTGCACTGCCACGGAACCTGTGGCAGAGGATTAACGAGTATCTCCAGGAAATTTTCCTGGAGCTCTCTCTGGAGATTCCCATGAAATCTTGGTGTGTATCAACACCCCATTCTGCCATACTGATTAGCTACACAGAAAAATGTCCAGCTTCCAAAAACACAGCCAGCCTCCCACATTTCTATCACCTGAACCCCCTCGGCACAACACAAACCATAGCCACTTATCACCTCATTTATTGCTCCCTGAAAAGCAACTGCTGAAACTGACACCGCTGGAATGCATAACAATTTCTGTCTGGCTGCCAGCCCCACCAGCTGACCCCGCTGGGAGTGGCACATCCTCATCTAACTCCACCCCTTCACCAATAACTTTGTCCTCTGGGTTAGATCCTTCTTTTGCTGCCTCCAGGCCCTCTGAAGTATCAACGGGGCTCTGGGCGGTGGAGATGGGGTCGCCACCAAGGATAGTGTCCAGCTCCTTATAGAACTAACAGGTCTTAGATGAAGCACCAGAGCAAAGGTTTGTGTCTCTCACTTTATGGTACACCTGCCTCAGCGCCTTTATCTTCACTTTGCAGTGCAGGATGTCTTGATCACAGCCCTTTTCGCACATGCCTAAAGAAACATGGCCTTAGGTATCCCAATTTCTATGGCTCAGCTGCAGTTAGGACTGCACAGCCTCTCCTCATATACTGATCACATCCAGTGGCTCCGCAGAGGTAGAAGTGTGAGGGCATTTGGTGTGATAGCCCGCTGTGGTCATCTGGGAAGATGCAATGAGACCGTGCCACACTGAACCAGCAGAAAATAGAATTGCAAAAATTCCTGGGGCCTCGAAGAGGAAAGGGAGGAAGGTTGTTTACATGGCTGCAGGGCAGTGGAGTTCAAGCTGCTGAGCGGAGCAGTCAGGATGGGCATTTTAGGACACATAGATGCCAATTAAGTGATGAAACCAAGTGTGGTGTCTATACTGTCATGTTGTTTAGAAAAATGTAGAAGAAAAAGATATAAGTCTCTCATCAGGGTGGATGTAGTCAGTGCCAAAACTGGGCCAAAAGTCACCTTGCAATGTGTATACGTTCAGTTTGGTGGACAAAAGGCTTTAATCATCATCAGGAATAATTACTTGGTCTACGTGATCATCCATTTCTCTTGGAAAGAATTTCCCAATTATTGCTGATAGAAGTTGGTGGGAGACCGTCAGAGCTATTCAGTGATTTCATTACAACCAGGATATTATGTCACTACTTTACTACTGGTGCTGTGGTAGTGCCAAGAGTCACCAACCAGAAATTGAGTCCTTTTAGCAAGATCTTGAACAAACAAAAGAAAGCACTGTCCCTGCCTCAAAATTCTTATAATCCAAATGAAGGACAAGCCACAAGAAATAAGTATAACTAATTATATGAGTGAGTTGGAATGAGGGAATTGGAAAGAAGATCACTTTACAACTAATACATGCAGAAATCATGTTTCCTGCTTCCAAAATACAGCCGCTTTTAAGTTGGAATACAGTCGCTACTTAACAGCTTGCAGGAACTCTACATAGCAAATTAGAATAATATCCCACAAACTGCACAGGAAGCTTTAGGAGGCAAAATGCAAAGGCTAAACCCCCAATCTTGATAAAAATTCCATGGAAAATTGGCTCAGTTCTAAATGAGAGAAGACTCTGTAGAACCAAAGACGATTGTTAGAAGTGAATGCAAAATACAAGCATGCTGATACAAAAAACCTGAACATTGTTAGTGACTTAAAATAATGGACAAGCACTGTTTTGAGTCTTTCAGCACCTTGAACATGGGATGCTTCCTCATGGACATTAAAGATCACACAACAATCCTTCTTGCCAGTTAGGATCATTGATCAACATTTCTTGCTGAAATTCCAATTGAGATACAGAAATTGCTTTCTACCTATCTCCTCTCCTTCTAAAAACAGACATATATTTTTACACATATTGTTATGTGTAAAACTTCTATGCCGCACACCAGAGAAGTCTGTATCTTAGAGATGGGAAAAGTGAAAGGCTCTTTCACCATGAACAGCTGTAATGTTGTAAAGTTATTCCAGTGCTTGTCAGAAGAGATACACGCATCACAAAACATCCATAAGTTATCAATAAGTTCCATCAGAGAGTGCTGTCTGCAAAGCTCATTTGGGGCCTATCCTGCAAATGCCTGCTTTGATATGATGAGTAGGGCAAACCCCCGACATGCGACCGCCCGAGTTCCGACCCCCCTCACCTACAATCATTTTTGTAAGTGCAGAAGGGGCCAAAACCCCCCAACTTATGTCCTTGGCCCACATGTACGATGGCACACGGTGCCTATCATAAATGAAGGTTCGTGTTATGATGCCCCCGACTTGCAATGCTTCTCCAGGAACTAATCATGTCACAAGTTGGGGGCTGCCTGTACCCTGAATTCCCACCAATGACATCTCATAGCACTAGCCCTCGAAGAACTGCACTGTGTCAGCTATTGCAGTAAAAGTTTCTGGTTTTGTAAGAGTTGCAGTTTTTGTTGCAATAGTAACTTTTATTTTAGAGGGTTAATTTTACACATGGTAGATAGCAGCATTTTTCATCTCACTGATTAATGTTTAAACTCCACAGCAGGAACCTAGTTTTCAAGTAACCTACCTCTGACAATGCTTAATTTGTGAGGTGAGAGAGGTGGCTTGGGAACTGCATCTTTCTTTTTTTTGGTTGCAACTCCTGTGACGCTTCTGTTCTTGAGAACATCTGTTCCCCAAATCATTACCGCTAGGTTTTTTGTATACTTTGAATCTCCTTGTGTTACTTGCAGCTGGTGCCATTTCTCTTCATCTACCCAGATTCCACTGCCAAGATGGACCTAAAAGGTAGAAATAAAATAAACAACAACAATTACTTATCTATGGTACGCAGCACACAACAGTGTCCAAGTACTGTATGAATACTAATATTAAACACTACAACAACAGTAAGTTAAGACTAAGCAAACTCAGTTTTCCTAGCTTTAAAACCTTTTCCAACATTGTAGGTCAGTAAGTTTGAGTCAAACTCTTACATTTTTTGTTTCGCTTTCCTCTTTGTTTTTCCAGTGCTCTTACTCTTAACTCTTTTTTTTTCAATAGTCTCTCTCCTGAAAGAGTATGATAAAAGGAGCAGAAATAGGACAGAGAAAAATTATAATGAGCAAGTATATCTAGGACTCTCTTTATGAACTGTATTCAAGCCAATCACTTGTTCCAGCCTAATCTGGGGTCAAGGAAAAATTCTCTTAGTACATAACACAGGCTTCGCTCTTGCCAAGGAAACACAATTCACTGAAATCACTCTTTGGGAGGTGGTGGGGAAGGCAGCACACTACAGCCAAATACTGGTCCCACTGAAGTCCGTGACAGAGCTCATACTGACTTCAACTGGAGCTGGATTACTCCACCACCCTACTTCAATTACAAGGGTGGTGCTTGGTGAGATGAAAGAGGGATTTCAGTGCTTCAATTAATTGTTAACCCTTTGAACACAAAAGATAGCTTGGCAAGCTTCACAAAACTTCATATTCCATCAATGAAGTTTATTCATCTCTAATGAACTGAACTTCTATCATGAAGAAATACAACAATATTTCTGTACTACTATAAAAGAAACAGGGGAGCTTCTTTCCTTCAAATGTGCAAATGTACAAAATCCTACATGAAGGGCAGGAGGGAATAATGGACACAATTACTGTAAGAACCCAGAACTCAGAGTAGGGGATGGGCCCAGGTTCCCCTTCTGGCTACAAGTTAAATGGTATAAATTCCAAGAGGAGGATGTAGCTTATCTGTGAGTCTGAACAAAAGGCAATTTAAAAGGTCCAGAGATGGGGCTAAAGATGCCAGGAAGGGCAAATAGACCATTTATTTATTGGACTCTTTAATACCCTCAAAAAGATTCATTTGGACTTCGTGAATTAGCCAGAAGGCCAAACCATGGAAGACCCATTATTTTAATTTCATAGTCAAGGGCTATGTCAAAAACCAAAGGCAATCAAGAGTGCAATGCTGAGTTAAAGGCATAATGGAATGTGCTGTTTTTCTGACACTGTAACCATGTTAAATAATTTGGTAGCTAAAAGGAGCCCAATGGAAACTGACATGGACACTGTTTCTGAAGGGTTCTCCAAATGCGCACTGACTGCATACTGCACCCCAAGAATGGAGTTCTGCTAAGTATGGTATCATTTCTGCAGATTTATGGAAACAAGTTCATTCATTGTGTCCTTTTCTGCGTATTTAATATGTGCATTCACTTCAAACTAGCATTGATCATTCTTTGCCTCCAATTATAAGTTTCAAATATATTTGTATAATTGTCTTTTACTTTGGGATTTGTAGCTGCAACCCCATGCTGTCACATAAAGTCATAAATGTGAGATAGAAAAAAGAAAGTCGTTGAGAACTTAAAAACTGGACAATAAAAAGTCACAAACCTCCCATCATGACAAAACCTAGTAAACAACAAGAACTCTCAACCATATTTTATGGTTGTTACATCATTTTCCTGTGACTCAACAAACATTCCAAATACTCAGAATGGTGTTTGGAGTGATTGTGTGTGCTGCCAGTGTTCAGGAATGGGGGGTTGTGTTGTGCTGGAAAAGATATATGAATTTGTACATATTGTGCATGAGAGGTATATGTTGTGGTGAGATGTGTTGGTTGCATTGAGCATGGGTGGTTGTGTTGATCTGTGTCTAGGGAGTGGTGCACTGACAGATTTGTGCTTTGTGTATATGGCTGTTGCCAAAATACAGTTTTCCTCATACAATCAGTGAAACTGTTGCATGTAACTTGTCTGTAAAGGAGTCAATTGGGTGAGTTACCTCTGAGATCACAGTGCTCTAGAACTTTTGGCATGCATAGAGATACAAGCCTTTCTGTGGCTGTACACCCTTTCGGTGTAATTTGTAAAGTTGAAATGGCTGCGAATTTAAAAACTGGGTGGTAACAGATCACAAAACCCAATGATGGTTTAACCAGATGATATTCTGAATTTAAAAACAAAAAAGCCACCTACCATATTTGTTGGTATTTCTATCATTTCACACCAATTCTAAGACATAAGTTTCAGAATGACACACAGAATGAGCTCCTGGAATTTCATTATATAGATACTACTGTGTTTTGTGAACATTTAGGAAAACACTAAAACACAGTAACAGCTTACAGCAAAGACTCCATAATGCAGTGGTCCCCAACCAGTTGATCTCAATCAATTGGTCAATCTTGGAGCCTCTGCCAGTAGATTGTAGGGTTTCCAGATGGTTTCAACAAAAATACCGGATACATTTGACATTATATCACTATCTACATTATATCTTATTTAGAAAATACTGGACATTGTGTTTTCTAATTTATATTTTCTCAATTTGTTTCCCGAACAGAAAGCTCAAATACTGGACTATCCGGTTCAAAACTGGATTCCTGGCAACCCTAGTAGATTGTGATCTCCAGCCACTAAAAGTCTGGCAGCACAGCAGGGCATTCAGCCAGGCTGCCTGCCTGCCTGGACCGCATGCAGCTCCTGAAAGCAGCTGGCTCCTGTTTCTGTGGCCCTTGGGTGGGTGGTGGCTCTGCATGATGCCTCCATCCCCAACACTGTCCCGGCCACTAGGAGTTGCAGGAACAGTACTTGCATGCACAGGCAGTGCACAGAGACCTGCTGTCTCCTCTCCCTTAAGGGCTGCAGCCCAGCAGCTGCTTCTGTGAGTGGCATGGGGCAGGCAGGCAGACTGCCTGAATTCCTTGTTGCGCTGCCTGTGGTAAGCACTCTGGACTGGAGCTTTCACCTCACACCCCCTCCTGCACCCTTTGCCTTCTCCCATACCCCAACACTCTGCCCCAGCCCAGGAGCCCCCTCCTACATCCAAACAGTCTCTAGAGCTTGTAGCCCTCACTCCTACACCCCAAGTCCCTGCCCAAGACTCAGCCAATTCAAACCCCACCGCTGAGAATGTTACCCTGATTTGTGACAATCCCTAAAGGATTTTGGATCTATAAACCACAAATAACACTAACAAAAAAATAAAACTCATGAAATGCCCAGTGAATTCTAGGAGATTAGAGCAATTTGACCATATGACTCCTATACCTTAACTTCCTCCCCCCCCCCCCGAACTTGCACCCTCACTTCTACACCCAATCTTCTTGCTCCAGGATAAGCCTGGATCCCCCTCCCACACTCGAACCCCTCAGCTCCAACCCAGAGCCTGAACTCCCTGAGGAACCCAGCCCCTTACCCCAGCCTGTTGAAAGTGAGTGAGGGTGAGAGATGTTGAGTGAAGGAGGAGGGAGGGGGAAATGAAGTGAGTGGGGCAGATCCTGGGTTGATCTGAAATTCACAAAGTGATCTTGTGCATAAAAAGGCTGGTGACCACTGCCACAATGCATGACATTTTGTAATGAAATCCACCTAAAGCACATTTAAAGACTATTTATAAAGTTTTTAGTTTCAAATACCTTTCCGTTCTCAAGAATATACTTGTCCATTACTGGAACGGGGGCAGGATAGTATGTTGATGTATTTGCTTCCTCACTGAATGTTTTCTGTATCTCAGGCTCAGGCTCAATTGATTCTGGTTTTCCTTTTTCAAGCTCAATGGCAGGACCTACACAGTTAAGAAAAGAAATTGGTCTGGTACCCAAAGAACACAGAATCAGTCATTACTCACCAATGGTTAGCATAGACTACCACAATAATTGTGTGTGTTTTAGAATGGAAATAGGTCCAAATCAACTCTCTAATAAAATCAGGGTAAGAGCTGAGGCTCTAACCCATTCCAGCTTTAAACACTTAACCCTAAATAATTATGCTTAAAAATAACTGTATGTATGGACCACTCAAAGAATATGGGTGAGGTAGCTACAACCTGTACTCAAAGGAAAGATAATGCAACTGAGTTGAACATACAAACCAGAGATAACAACAGTTATCCTTCAAATTAGAATTACTGCATAATTACTATATTTTATCTGTGGATATCTTTCTACATACTTTTCCATGGAAAAAATTAAAAATAGTTAAAACATTCTTTAAATAGGAGTATGTAAAATAAGAATGAAAAGAGATGATATGGACAAATAAATGGACTTGGGAATACTTATGCTAAAATGCCATAAATGTAAGGAGCATCTAAGTGTTGTTAAAATTTAAATTAGAATTTTGATTGCCCGATCTATCAGCTATGCTGATTTGTATTTTAATGTAATCAACAAAAATTAAGCACTGTTAAAACAATGGAAGATTGCTAAGCAGGTGTTTGAGGTTTCTAAAAGAGATTTATCAGTGACACTAGCTTTTTAGAATTTTCTCCCCCAAAAAGTGATCTTAGAAGTGGCTTAACATTGCCTGTACATGATATAAGTATTATAAGAAAAACTTAAACAACAAATAGTCTAGTAGCACCTTAAAGACTAACAAAACATGTAGATGGTATCATGAGCTTTCGTGGGCACAACCCACTTCTTCAGATGACAGGAGTGTTGGAAGTCCAGTTCCAAGAATAAAAAAGGGGGGGGGGAAATGGAGGGGAGGAAGAAAAAAAAAGAGACAGTGAGTAGATAAGCTTCAGAGGGACAGCAGAGTTAGTCTGTAACAGGAAAGGCTTAAAAAACAACAAATAGTCTAGTAGCACCTTAAAGACTAAATAGTTATAAGAGGCTGATAAGAACCATAAGTTTGCACTTGGAAGATAAGCAACTCCAGATTCTACCCAAACATCAAGAACCATTAGCACCTTCATTGGTTGGTTGGTTAAGTCATTAAGATGTGGAAGATAATGTGGGAACCATCCAATGTCCTGGTTCATAATATTTGCATAAGAATTCAACTTTGTGAATGAAGTTAAGTTCCAACCCTTCTCTGTGTATTTGGCTTGTGGAATTGGTCTGAAAAGAAAGGGCGACTTGGAGATCCATTAATGAGTGTCCAGGAAGATTAAAGTGTTCTCTGAAAGGTTTTTGGGTATTGCCTTTTCTGATTTGGGTCTGATTTGGGTCCATTAATTCTTTCCCATAGAGGCTGTCCAGTTTGGCCAATATACAGTGCAGTGGGGCATTGCTGGCATTTCATGGCATAAATCACATTAGTGGCTGTTCAGTTAAATGAGCCTCTGATTTGGTGGCTGATGTGATTGGGTCCAGTGATGCAATCGCTTGTGTAGATGTGTGGGCAGAGTTGACACCGGGGCTGATTGCAGGGGTGGGTTCCTGGATGATTATGATGAAGGTGTGTTGTGTGGTTACTAGAAAGAATGTGTTTGAGGTTAGGGGGCTGTCTGTAAGTGAGGGGTTATTCTTCACATGGAGCTACTGGGGTGCATTTAGTTTATTGTCAGCTGACACAAGCAACAAGGATCAACAACTCCAGTTCTTTGTACGATTCTATTCTGCAGTTCCAACTATTGGGTTTCTCAGGAATTGAATGTAAATATGGTACCAAAATAAAACCATTGGAAAGACAGCATACTTGGAGTATAGTTCACAGCAGCGTTCAGAGACATCTGCATCATTATACAGAGGTAGATCCTGACAGTGGCACCAAGCAAAGACCGAACACTTCCATTTAAAACTGGCAAAAGCAAGCTTAACTATAGATCATCTGCAAGTGGATAGATCTAAGTGGAATTGTAGAATTGTTTAACCTCTTCCCACGTTTCTTTCATGAACTGAACAAGCAGAGTTCTGATACACAACTATTCTAGAACAGTGATTTTCAGCCTATGATCCACAGACCCAGACTATGTCTAAGGGATCCATGAAGATGATTATGAAAATAAAGTTTGAGATCCAAGAAAAAGACATTCTGGTTTTCTGATCAAACATATACCATGCATAGGGCAAAATTCTAAAGTGGTATTACCACAGAAGTTCACAGTTTAACACCCTTTCCCATGTTGTGTCAAGTGCCATGCTGAGTATGTGCAACAATGATTTCTATTTACTCAGTTTTCGGTCTAAGACTTTTACGGTAGGGGTTTGCTGACCATAGGATGAATTTCCAGTGTGGCTGCACTTCCATTAACATTTTTTAGGGGTCTGCAAATGAAAAATGTTTGAAAACCATTGCCCTAGAGATTGTCTTGATCTATAGGCTGAGAAGATAACCTTCATGCCTTTTCCTGAGGCAAACTCAAATGGCAAGCTCTCTGTTCAATGAGCTCAAGGAAAATAATCCTCAAGATGTAAAATTCTGTGACATGAAGAAAAAATCAGGGGGAAAAAAGTGTGGTACAGTATTTTCTTCCTAGAATGAAAAGTGTTTCTTGGTTTAAACATTTATGCTATTTTCTACTTGGAGGTTTTTTACTGTTTGTTTACAGCCAAGTATATTGACACAGCTGGGGTTTGGTTTCCAGATTTCCCTAAAGAAGAGTAACTGGTAAAAGTCCACTGTAGCAGCAAATCTCAGGAGTCACAAAAATATTGAATTTAACTGATGTTTTATTGCTTGGAAGCCACAGATACAAAGCCTAAAATGCCTTATTTTATGCTCTAAAAGCTTGCCCTCCCCCCAAAAAAACCCATAAAGCTGCATCTAACTGGATAGGCTTCACAGTTCTTTTCACTAACTACTAAAGACTGCATTTTCAGCACAGCATGTTGTGAATTAGACATGCAACTCATTTTATTGCTTTATTGCTAATGGGAGTTGCGTGCCTAATTTGCCATGTACCACACTTTAAATTTACTTTTTAAAGTTTCTCTCTGGAAGCTTTTTGCTTTGGTGGGTTTTTTGTCTTTATTTTTTTCAAAATAAAGGAAGGGAGAGAGTGGTTCAAACCATTGCCCGTGGCCCCTGGGCTCAAGAATGCAAACGCTTATTACATAATAGTGACTTTACAAATACAGCAAAGACCATTCTTAAGAATCTGCAAAGAAAGGAAAGAAACCTTTCTAGTTCACTCCAAAATGTTTGTTTTCGTTCAGGGGACTGTTTCAGAATTACTGGTTGCTCAATATGGAACTACAACAGCTACAGCTGCAGTATCAGCAGATGCTAGGCTTTCCGCAGGCTCTTTCAATGTGTAGATCATCTCATTCTCTCTAACACACACTGCAGGTTTTGATTCTACTTGAAGTATGTGGAGTAGGGATATAAAAAAACATTAAAATAGTTAACTGGTTAAACAGATAAAATTATACCATTTAACCGTTGGCAGGCAGGCCAACGGTGGTCAAGGCTGTGTTACCACCTGCCCTCCTAGGCCGTGTCACAGTGGCCATGTCCTGCTGGAGCCACCAGCCCATCCCAGCTGGGGCCAGAAACCTGCTGGTCTGTGCCAGCATGGCCGAAATCCCACCTGACTGCTTGAGCTGCTGTGGCTGAGGCCAGGGACTTGCCTACCTGCCCGCCCAGGTCACTCCAGTATGGCTGGGTCCCTGCCTGCTGTGGCATGGCTGGGGTCCTTCCTGGCTGCCCAAGAAGCAGACGGAGTCCAGTCAGCCTGCCAACCCAGACTGCTCCAGCAGGACCAAGGCTAGGGCCCGATCTGGCTACCTTGGTGGCTCCAGCACAGCCAGGGCCGGGGTCAGAGGAGCCAATGCAGACAGAGTCCTACCTGCCGCCCCCATCCAGCTGGTGGGGCTCAGCCAGGGCTGCTCCAGCTTGGCATGATTGGCCATCTAACTGCATTCCGATGAGCCTAATGCTTACCAGGCAGCAGGTTAAGCAGTTAACCTTTTGCATCCCTAGTGTGGAGGTGCATTTCCATTTTGTTGCAGGAGGACTCTGCTTTTCCCCATGTCTACTATAAAGAGAATATACATGATATTGAAGAATCTGGGAAACGTTCGATTTTTATATACTGTTATTGATTTGTTACTGATTTACTGTTACTCGTTGTGCTGCAATAAATGTTCCACATTTGTTCAGTTCCTAGCGCTATCTGCTAATAGGACTCTTTAGCCAGCTCTTTCCTGAGAAAGACAAAGGGTCCAGAAAGCATCTGGATTAGGAATGTGAACATGTATCTGTATTAGAGGCAGAAGGAGAGAAGCAGGAGCCGTTGCACTCCAGGCCCCGCGCATGGACCCCCACATCCGCTTCCCACAGAGGCAACAGTATAGCAGGGGAGGCCAAGAGCTGGTGCTCATAGGGAGCTGGTTTAAAACCCGGTTCCTCACATCAGCTCCCATGGAACTGCCGCCCCCCTGCCCCTCACCGCTGCCTTTGATACAGGGGTGGCAGCAGCACAGGGGAGAGAGGGAGGAGGAGACAGTACACATGTATCAGAGGCAGCAGTGCAAGCGGGGGCGGGGGGCAGATGGGAGTTGGTACACGCAGGGAGCCGGCTTTTAAGTTGGCTCCCCTTGAGCACCGGCTCCCGTGTAGCGTCCTGCCCCTCTCCCCCCCACACTGCTGCCTCTGAAAGCTGGTTCCTACCTCCTCACCCCCCATGTGAACGTGTAACCACTGAACAATTCTGCAATTATGTGTTTACACAGATCAACACATTTTAACATTCCTAAGCTGGATATGGCCATATGAGAATTCTTCTTGTGTGGGCAATTCTGTACCACCATATTCAGATGCTGCTCTACTCCCCGGCTGCATCTAGATTAAAAGCATTTCCAGAAAATCATGCCAATGGAAAAGTTTTCCGTTAAA